AACTTATTAATACTATTGGTATAAGAAGAGTTGCAAAAGAAACAGTAAAGCGTATAGGTTGCAAGTTAATTCAAGGAGCAGCTTACGGCTTTGCCCAAGGTGCTGTGGATTATGTAAGTTTTTTTTTTCTTCAAATTGAGCAATTAAATTCATTTATAAACTTTCAGGTCATTACTAATCATTTACATGGACTATGTAATGCACTTCAAAAGTTATTAGTTGCAAATGTTGATGAACTTTTTCGAAATCATGAGCTTAACCAAACAATACTTGAAGCGTTTAATATAATGGGTGAGCAAAAAGCACAATTACTGATGGATCATGTGACACGAGAATGTTTCGAAAAGACATCACTTTATAAAACAATTCTTTACGATTGTACACATATATCTGGATTAATTACACGTGAGTTGGGCACACTTACGCGATATGCTAGCACCAAACTTGACGGAAAATTAGCTTCAATATTGATGGAAATTCTGAAGCGTTTACCAGATCTCTTAAAAGCTGGTGGTGCTGTGGATGAAATGAAAAAATCAGCTGCAAAATTTCTCCAAAACGCCAATCAAATAATACAAGATGCAATAACTGAACACAAATCATTAAATGCAACTGTAGCTGCCTCACGAAACGCGCAACTTCTACGTGATCAAAAGATGCAGCAATGGAAGGAAACAAATATTGAAATATCTAATCAATTAATTGCTACACACGTCCTTCAACCCATTTTATCCTATGGTGTCAATCACCTCGTTGGTTATATTGGTAATTCGATTAAGAAACAATATCGTTCGTATAAAGAAGATAGATATCGCGCAGACTTTGAATCATTGAAAAAAGATTTTGACGAAAAAGTGAAGAATGCTAAATTCAATGTCGAAGAACATACCAGAGAGGTTAAAACTTATCATGAAGCACTCGTTAAATTGCTGGGAAAAACAAGAGATGCTAAATTATTTGCGAGTATTTTACGTGAAAATGTTCCTATGGATATGACTTGTGTCCAAGCATGCACTAATGTACTCGATGCATGTATGCGTGGCTTTGAGACTGCTAATCTTAAAGAAAAATTTACTGGAATTTGTATCGTTGTCGAAGGTAGTGATGGTTCATCACACGAATACTCGAGTTCGAAAAATCCGTCGCATAAAATATTTTTGACACTTGATGATAATCATTTCCGTGCCAGTGGATTTGAAAATACCGAAGCCTTGCAGAACAGTTGTCTGTATGAAGCACTAATGCGTCAAGTTCCATCATTAAAAAGAATGTTTTCAAATGGAAAAGAGTTTCGAGAGTGTTTATCAGATCATATTAAAAACAACAAAGGTCTCCAGTATACCATTGCTCAAGGATGGCATAGATATACCATCGAAAAAAGAAATTATGGTGGTGCAATTAAAGAAGAAAACTTCAGTCCAGATGTTTTGTATAATAAACATGTGTCAAATGTTAAAGAAGCATTAAAGAATATCTATAAGAACAGTCCAACTTTATCAAGGGAAATTCAAAACAAAATTCAAGAATGTGTAGACAATATTGATAAAATTGCTACAGGTGATCTGAAAAATGGTAATGCAGCGCATGATATTAATACAATAGTAAAAGACTTCGATAAATGGTTAGATAATAAATTCCAAAATGATGAATTAAAATTAAGAAACGAATTGAAACAAACAATGTCGACATTTGGTGAACGCGTTAATCAAACAGTACGTCAAAATTGTAAAATAATGCTAGATGAATTTCGCGAACAAGCCATTCGTGCTGATCGCTCTTCTACCGACCCTGATGCAGTTCATGTTGCTGACAGAATAGATTTTACCAGAGATGATATTAATCTGCAAAGTTTAGCAAATAATTCTACAAAACTACGAAATGATCCCGACATTATTGCAAGTGTTATCCATGCAAAACTCAATAAGGACTTGCCGAAAAGTGAATGGCGATACAATACAGTAATCGTGGGCATTCACAATGAAGCAGTATACATTGCGTTCAATCAAGTTGGAATTGCAAATGGGCAAGAAACCTATGTAATAACTGAGAAACAAGGTGAAGAAATATTTCAATATCTTAATTCGAAAAAACTTCTCGTCGGACGTTACAAAGTTATTTTTCTGGAAGAAAAGTCTACTCCAACAGATCGAACAACCTGTCGAGCACCACATGGTGAAATGCAAATCCTGCGTTTTTGGAATAACTCAGGAATATTACGAGAAGACAATAAGGGGACCAGAAGGAAACCATGGAGCATAGGTGGATCGAAACCACCATGCTTTTGTTGTAGTGTTGCTATGAAAACACGTAATGTCAATCATAAAGTTTACGGAAAGGCAAATATGTCACCAAGAAATTGGATTCCTCCCGATAATATCAATGTTAAAGTCAAAATGGCATGGAATGTGCAAACCAAAAGTCGTCGAAAGTGATTGAGAAAAGTTAATTAGATTAACACAAACTGCGCAGTGTAGTCATTTTTTTAAACTATACTTTCAGATTCATTATCTAAACATTTCTCTATATTACCATTTTAATACACTTTCGAAGAATATATAATTTTGTCTAAAAAATAAATAAAAATTGATTCATTTCTATCTTGAGAGTCTAGGTGAGAGGCGTGGATGGACTCGAATATTTTTTATTTAACTACATATCCTACACTCTTACTTACACCGACATTTTCAAGTCAAAACCATTAACGTAATAGATATACAAAAATTTAGACTTCCAATGCTTTTTTTGTTGATTGAATATGGAATTTTGCTAAGAATTTTCTGTATTCTTTTTGAGAATATAATTATATTTGAGAAAAAAAGTTAATTATAATTTATCATTATGATATATGACTACCATGTATATGAAACTATTTAAGATCTTCATTAAGAAAAGTAATAAGTTGTTCTAGTATTTCGCGATAATAAAATATCAGTTCGAAGATATAACTTTAACTTGAAGAAACTCGGACATCAACAAGTTCAACGATAACAATATATGTAGGTGTATATACTTTACCAAAATGATATATGTAAATTACTCAGATACATTTTCTATTCCTTTTATTCTTGAAACACATAGGCTCATATATATTTTTATTTCGATACAACAGAACGTTAAAAAAGTTTTACACCTTCATCTGACACATTTAACTTGTTGATGGATAATAATTTTAAGGAATAAATGTGTTTTGATCTCCAAAACAGTGACTTTTGATCCCCAAATTTATTAACAGTGAAATGCTCCCCAAAAAATAAGACTTTTGATCCCCAAATCAATTAAAGATATTTAAATTTACAGAAAATATATACAAGAAGAATATATATAGCAATTTAATAGAAAATTGATTGCTAATTAATTAGTGGACAGACAAGAAAAAGAATATAAAAAAGAATAAAAAACAACACTACACTACACTACAAGGGATTGTCCATTACAGCCCATTACACATCCACTACATCCCACCACACAACCACTACAGCGCATTACACATCCACTACCGCCCACCGCATAACCACTACAGTGTACTACACATCCCCTACACCCCACCGCACATCCACTACAGTGCACTATACAACCACTACAGCTAACTCCAGCCCACTATATAACCAAAGTGTGCAAAGTGTAGTGTAGTGAAGTGTTGTTTTTTCCTCCGTGATTTCTTAGATATATAATAATTCAATTTAGTCGAAACAGAACAAACGGCTAGAATCGATTGTAAACGACTTTCTTCAGTAACAGAGTATTGTAATTCGTGAAGCAGCCGCCACACTGCGACCGATTGAAATTCTGCTCGATGTTATGCTGGTTCGATC